TAATAAAATTGCTAAATAAACCTCATTTTGATATAAACAGCGTTTTACTTATTAAATATAACACTAATACATCTTTTGAGAAGTTTAATTTATAGTTATAATACTGGAAATAAATTATGATAGTAATAGTACAATTAAACGTTTCAAGGCCGAACGATGTAGAAAAACGAAAAGCAATACTGCCATATAGTTGATCTCGCGCTAAAAATTTGTACTTTTAAAAAGACCTTTTGCGACTTATGCTCTCCTGATACAAATTTTCAGATTTAACAAAATTTTCAGTTTTTCGTCATATACGAGGGTCAGTCGAAAACTTATGGAAAAAAATACTTCTAAAAAGACCTTTTGCGACTTATGCTCTCCTAATACAAATTTTCAAATTTAACAAAATTTTCAATTTTGCTTCATATACGAGGGCCGGTCGAAAAGTTATGGAAAAAATACTTTTAAAAAGACCCTTTGCGACTTATGCTCTCCTAATACAAATTTTCAGATTTAACAAAATTTTCAGTTTTGCGTCATATACCAGTGCCGGTCGAAAAGTTATGGAACAAAATTTCAAAAAACAATTTTTGATTTTTCCGTTACTTTCTGACCAACCCTCGTATTTGGCTCAAAACCGAAATTTTTCATAAATTCCAACATTTGTATTAGGAGAGCATAAGTTGCATTGGATCTTTTCCCAAATTTTTGATTTTTCCGTTACTTTCTGACCGACCCTCGTATTTGGCTCAAAACCGAAAATTTTCGTAAATTCCTACATTTGTATTAGGAGAGCATAAGTCGCAAAAGGTCTTTTTAAAAGTATCAATTTTTAGCGGGGGATCAACTATATCGTAGTCTTGTTTTTCGTTTTTCTACATCGTTCGACCTTGAAACGTTTAATTGTACTATTACTATCATAATTTATGTTCATTTCCAGTATTATAACTATAAATTAAAGTTGCATTGGATCTTTTTCCAAGTTCAGAATTAAAGCGCAGAATTAACTTCACCTTTCTTACAAATAGTTCAGCTCCTGAGCATATGACTTGTAATTTTCAAAAAATTGACACAATTTCTTTTTTTTTTTACAGTATTTGTACTATTTTATTCATTACTGTTCAAAGCTGAGGAAAAAACTAAGAACACATACTTTATTTATTTATTTAAATACTAAAAAATGATAATACAATGAAAATACATTTATTATAACAAAGTACAAATTTATTTCAAATAACAACAATACATCAATATAAACAATGTATCTAAGATATAATACATTCTAACGACTTATAAAAGTTAAAAATATAATACCTGTAAGAGAGACAATAAAATCAATAAAATTTTAAAGAAAATACATTTATTATACATAAACTGTCATACCATTATTATTTAAAGGCAAGATTAGGGAGAAAAAAGCCTCTCTAACCTTCTGTGACCTCCGCATCTCCCCTTATAGCCACCCTATCCACCCAAAACAAACATTAATTTTGAAAGCGTAAACAAATAATTAATTTCATTTAACAATTATACCAAAAAATCAATTTAGAAACATTTTAAATATCAACCTAAGTTATGATTATAAAGATACAACAGTTTATGCAGTAAAAAACAAAATACCTGTAAGAGAAAGACAAGAAAACACATGAAATTTCAAAGAAAATACAATAAAAAGCAAACAAGAAAATGATGTCTTCGTTCTTCTTAGGAAATACCTCAAAATCTGAAAGCGAATAGTGCAATTACAAGGACTAACGACAAATACTAATAGCTTTGGTAGAGAAGATCGGACAGATTTCGCCAAGGCAAGCTGGGCAGTCGCCTATTGCTCCTATTCCAGATAACCCACTGTACCCTGTCTGAAAGGAAGTAACGCTAGAGTAGACTCGCGAAAAGTGTATAAGACACTTTTAAGATCAACTAAATAGCTAAGCCCAAGGGAAGTCGTTCGGGGAGGCCCTCCCTAATTCCACAAGGGTGAGAAGAAACACACACGATAACGAAACGTTGAATCATGTAGAACTCGTAGGGTAAATGCAAAGCAAATTAGGAAGAATATGCAGTAAGCTAAGCGAAGAGGTAAGCAAGGTTAGACTATACTACAACTACTAAACGTGTTATTTCTACTACTACACTACTACTACATACAAAAATAAAAACATCTACAATCAACAATTACTTCAAATAAAATGAACAAAAATAAGCATGCAAAATAAAAACTAATTCAAATTAACTACAAAAAAACATGCAAAATAAAAAATTAATTTGAATAAAATGAACTTAATGAATTCTACTAGATAGAGCATGCAAGATAAAGAACTATTTCAACTACTGGGTCATCTTTGTCTTCTCCAACGTCGATCTGAAACAGATACGGTGGCAAACAGATTAATAAAGAGCAATTAGAATTAATTATATCAAGTATTCTCACCTTAATTAACGTTCCAAAGTTTACTGGTGTGAAAAGCAAACTAAATCCAAGAGAAATACCAATGCAGAAAATTTGTTATTTCCAGTGGAATTCAAATAAACTTCAGTTGATCTCGCTCATCGGTTGAAAAGTAACTGCATAATGTTGCAAGGCGAAGAAGAAAAGTGCAAATCAACAATATGATCCATGAAAGACCACACCCATCCAGACATTGGTTGTTTTAGTACAACCAAAATGAACTTTAATTCCTTCTCATTTGTTAGACGATCTGTAGAAATGGACAAAAAAATATATTAATTACCGTATTAATTATGAATCAGATTAAACACATTTAAAAATACGCACCAAAACGCAAATAAAACATCTAAATTATAAAATGACGACAAGCGTCAAGTTTACATAATGACGGATCATATTTGATAGATAAATGTGAAATCATAGACGTCAATTCGTGGTGTAGACAACAGATAAAGGTTAAACGAAATTACATAGATACTGTGAACAATAGATATTTTAAAGAAATAATACACGTCATAACGTCAATTTATACTGTAAACAGAGTATTTTTAAAAGAAATGCCATTACATATTAATAAAGAGCAATTAATATTAATTATGTCATGAATTCTCACCTTAAGTAACTGTAGAAAGTAGTGTTCTAAAGTCTACAAGTGAAATGAGCAAGCCAAATCCAGAAGTGATACCATTGCTGGTAATGTTGTTCCAGTGGTTTTAACTTCCTTTTGCCCCCCCTTGCAAGTACAAAATTAAGACGTCAAAAGCAACAGTTGTGTCAGAAGCATCAAAATTAACTGTAATTCCCTCTCATTTGTTGAACAATCTATACAAAGGGACAAGAAAAAGTAATTAATTGCCACTTTTAAAGCAAGTAAATCAGTAATATTTTAATGTGGCGATGTGATGGAAAAGTTAAAAGCTAACTTTCACATTGATCAAAAGAGAAGTTTCATATTAATTCTGCTTCTCTGCTTGTGCCATTTCTGTAAAGTTGTATTGGTTGTCTGTTGAAAGTAAGGAATGTCTAAGGAATTTCTGGGATCTTAATTACTATTATTTTTAAATGATACTTACCAGTTCACTGTTATAAATCCTTAGCAACAGCACACTGCCTTTGCTCTTAATTCATACTTTCTTTAGTGTCATAGGTACAGCTACTTTCTCAAGAGAATGAGGACTCATACAACCAATGCTCTGTAAATTAATGCCATTTAGTTTTTCTTTAACATTTCTGTAAAATAAAATCTTAAGAATGTGTATTCAGATGTAATAAATTTCGCCCCAGTAAATAACATGCAAAATACAATGTTAAAGTTAATATCAAATAAATGTACCAAGTATATATTACGGCACGAATACTCACTTTAATTAACTACAACATTTTCCATAGTGAAAAGATACTTTTTCAGTCGCAACACAACGAACGTTTTCCACTCATATTTATCGTCAATCTGAAAATATGGAGAAGAAAAACTAAACCACACTATTAATACACTAAACAATTGAAACACGAAAAACAACAATGAAAACAAGCACCGAAAGCATGTAAAATTGCGAAATCTTATTATTGGCGACATGGCGTCGCTTGTACATGATAAGATCGACATCATAGATAATAGATCTACAAAATGCTAAACCCATACATAATGGTAAACCTCTCTCACAGACCTCTTGTCTATGCTGGACATGGTGTCATTCATCGATGTCTACTAATGGACGTGCCTTAGCGGTCAGAATTGTGGTACAACGAAAGAGATGGAACGAAGTTTCGGACAATATCCATCTCCACGATAATGCGTAAGCGTGTCAGGAAAAAGATAACATTAGTCCGAAACCATACGCCATCTCCCTCACTATTCGAGCCAATAAATTATTACAATGACATACGGCTAAGGCACGTCCATTAATATATGTCTATGGTGTCATTCATAGATAATCTGATGCAGAAAAAGAGAATATTAATTCACAATGTACCATTGAGTAAAAACAACATACAGAGTATGTTGAAAAATTGGAGCGTATTTGAATAACAAATATAAATATGTATATTATAGACCTTGCAATACACTTGTTATTTTCTTTAAGAGTACATACCTTCTTTAAATCCAAAATAACAAAAAAAAAAAATTGTACAATTGGTTTTTATTTTCGAATATCCTTATTTTGAATCAAGCAGCAATTACATTTTTAAATATATCTTAATCTAAACACAGTTATTACGCATATATTATAACTACACAGGCTGTTTTATCCATAAATATATTTTCCTTTTTTTTTTCGAGATTGATTATTACCTGTTAACTTTTTTATTTTAAAAGGCGATATAAACTAATAAAAACTAAAGTAACAGTCTTTCAATTATAAAAGAAGTACATACAAAAAAGTTATGTTTTTTTAACAAGAAGAGACGCCTATTATCCTAAAAATACTGCTCACTATTCTACCACTTTACTCTCCTATTATATATACAAGTGCTATTTACTAACTGGCCCTTAAAAAATTTACAGGATGTTCTACAATCGATAAACCGTAATAAGGGGGAGGAAAACACTCGTTGCATAATTTTAAAACAATTTGTGTATAATATTAACGAATGTAGCATATATTAAAAACATTTAAAATATGTATGTGGCTTCTTTAATGTATAATAATGAATGTCAAATTAAAATATTAAGATGTAGTGATTTTATAAAATAATTTTGAAAATAAACAAGTATTTCCTTCAGCAATAGGTACATAAAAATATAGTTTACATACAACACAGCTTTGTCATAGTTATTTTACCTAATGACGTATACCCCGATTAATTAAATTAGGTAAAGAAAAACATTTTTTGGATAATTAAATCATATACATGGAAATTTAAAGTAAGATGTTGATAACGAAAACACTTTCATGTTTCATTCTTGTGTTTTCTTTTTCCTTTATCTTCGTTTTGTTTGGATCATTTAACTTTATATAACGTTTATAACTAACCAATCAGATGCAGAGAACACTTTCAACGTTTATATTACTATTATGTACCTATTATTATTATGAACCACATATTTATTAGTATATATTGAATTATTTTGC